GGTTGACAACATGTCGATAATAAGATCGTTCCTGCCTTCCACGGTGGTGCTCTGCCTAGGGTTAGTATTGGTTGGACTGTTGTCATTCTCTCTACTCCTTATGAGTTGGTTTGTGTTGGGAACTTACTGTCTCAAAACCCTATTGGAAAGCTAAAGTTGAAGCAAAGCAAAAATGAAAACATCTATTTGTAAGTTCACAACAAAATTGAGATCAGAACTACAATTTGTTTCTCTTGTGCAAATAAGAGGCGAGTAAAATCTGACTGAACTCGAAAAATTATTTTTTTTAGGTTTAAGTTGTTAAAGTTAACTTAAATTATCAAATCGGTTTTTGAGTTCGAGTCGAATTGAAATTTAAAATTTGAGTCAACCAAAAGATTAAAAAATTATCTGAGTATTTTAATAATTTTATGATTTTATCTCTGATTTTTTTTTAATTCCTTCAATTTTCCTTTCATTTTAGTTCATTTTTACCAAATTTGAATCATATGTTTCTAAACTAGTGTAGAATACATGTATCTTCATTTCATCATTTTGTTAACAATTTTTTTATTTCAATCCTTTAAATTTTGCATGATTTCTCATTCATTCAATTCTTCTTTTATGTTAAGTTTATTTTTTACGAAATTTGAGTCACATACTCCTAAATTATTGTAATATTTCTATGTGTTTTCAATTCCTCCTTTTTGATAGCAAATTTTCTATTTTTCTCAATTTATTCCCTCAAATTTACATGATTCTTTCATTTTTCTTATTCATTTTAAGTCAATTTTTACTAAATTTGAACAAAGTCCTCCTAAACTATTATAAAATAATTTTTATTTTTAAGTTTTTTTAAATTTTCAATTTAAGTTTATTTTTTGACTAAATTTGAACTACATGCTCCTTTATCACAATAGAATACCTATGTAAATTTAATATCTATTTTTAACTATGAATTTATTTCTTTTAGTTTAGTCCCTTAACTTTGCATTTATTTGATTTGAACTTTTGACTGTATTTTTTTGCAAATTGTTTTTCTCATTAATTCTTTGACTCTTTTATACTCTCATCGCCTTCTTTGAAAAATAACATTATAAACATATTTTATAATTTTAGATTGTATTTGATTTAATAGAACATGAACAAATATATATGTATATCTTATATGGTTAGAAAAAGTTGTTAAATTGAAACAAATCTATATTATAATATTATAAACAAATGCAATTAAATTTGTATAAAAACTCGAACAACTCGAAAAAAATTCAAATAAAATTTGAGTCATAAAATACGATTCGTCGATTTAAATAACTCAATTTTTTTAATTCATCTCGATCAAATGTTCACCTTTAATGTTGGCAAATCCAAAATTATAGTTATTCAAGTGTTGAAGCTATTAATTTGATTCAAGTTTTGGTGCGGTCAGGGATGAATCCAAGGGGTGGTGGATGCAGCCGCCTCTAAAAATTTCAAAATCTCATATATTTTAGATTTTCTTTTTTATATTTTATATTGATAATTTGTTTTTACTCTCCTAAAAATTTTACAATTTATCTCACCTAAAATTTTATAAACTTGTTAATTCTATAAATTTATTAATTCTAACATAAAATTATGTGTCTGCCCTGGATCCAATCCTCCCCGTAAATAACTCAGGTGATAATGTGGTTGGGCCTGTTGCTGAAAGGGTCGGGGGATTGTGCAGAGTGCAAAGTGAAGTTAAAGATCACAGGATATGAAAGTTTGTCACATGATACCCAAGAATCTCCTTGCCTTTAAAACAGTGGACGACAACTCCCTACCTCCTACATATAACTGGTAATTACAACTTCAATATATTATATATAAATAGCCATAGATATATGTGCTTCAACAACACTCTTACCTTGTTTTTTGTGTTTTCTTTAGGCTTCTACGTTCTTCTTGCTTCATGACTTGGTGGAAACAAGATTTCTGTTATCGGCGATGTAGGCAGTGTTCCTTAAGTCAAATACTGATCTGAGAAGTTTAGATTTTAGTTTTCTGAAATTATTTTAGTTAATTTGAACTGTGATTTTATAGGGAAAGATTTGATTTGTAAAATTTAATTATTTGATAAACAAGGACAAAATTGCGTTTATGACAAATGTTAAGTAATCGAGATTATTGGATGAAGCGAATATTTAAGATAATACTATATGAAGATCTTTTACAACTAACGTACGTGTGTAGTTAGATAGATTTTGTATCGAGAATCTTACAGTTGACTTTTCATTGAGCAAGACCATGAAAAGGTGGAATCGTTAAATGATTTGAATTGTATAAACGAACTCTATTATATCCTTATTTACGTTTTAGTTCTTCTAATGATTCATGTAATGCTAATCAACTTAAATATTTTCAAACACAACCACATTAACTAGTATTCTCTTTGTCCAATTAAAGTTGTCTCTTATTAACTTTTTTAAATATTTAAAAAATAAATTTTATAAAATAGATATTTCAAAACTACTGATTGAAGATTTTTAAAATATTTATTTTCATATTTTAATTAATAGTAAATTTTAAATAATAATTGGTCAAAGTTTTAAAAGAATGGTAAAAAAAGTTAATAAGAAACAATTTGAGTAGAATGGAGGGAGTATCATTTACTATTATTAGTTTTATCTATATATTTTTCGAATAGTCTGTGATAATTACAAGATATTATAAGTTTAAGATTATTCTTTGTCATTGACAACATACATATATCTACTCGAATCCAAGACATCGAAAAAAATAACACTCCCTTTAATCAATGAATCACCCGATAAATTTTTAGATATTTTGAAAGGCCAATTAACGGGAGTAATACTTTAAGACAAGACGTCACTTTAAAAAGGTTTAGGATATAGGATTGCATTATTACACAAATTGAGTTATGGAGGTTGGTAGATACAAAAGGTTCTTTGCCATGATTTCAAACAAACATATTCATTACCGAAACCTTCGAGCTGTCGAATGGAGATTAGATCTTTACCAATAAATTGTAATTATGACAACAATGTGCTTAAACTAATTAAAAATTGACTACCCATCCACCATATATAACTTTACATTACGTACATTGTTTATATATTAAACGTTGTTGTAATAACTTTCTAAAAGCATAATGATTAATATTTATTCTTAAGGTGATAGTGGAGCTTTTAACTAGCACGCTATGGGCATATAATTAGTGTATTAAACACTAACAAACTAATCAAAATCATATGATATTGTTGAGGTATTGACTAAGCCATTTTTGTCATCTTCCCAAAAGGGTAACCCAATCACAATTAATAGAATCTCAACTAAGCTAAAGACAAAGTCCTTACCCAATATAGCTATCGTACTCTCCAACTTGTATAATCTAGAAGTAGGCACATTTTTTTAAAGGAAAGGACAAAACTAAGGCGTTTTTACCAAAATATTACTTGTACCACCAATAATTACCTATTAGGCACTCTCATCCCTATTATTACCGATCTAGCACCCTTTCTGACACGATAGTAATAAAGCCTGGATCGTCATTCGTGCCTTCGAGGAGTTCTGTCCGAGTTGGCGCCACGTAAGGAAACGCGCGAATTGTCATCCCATTATTATCCCGCTTTCCAATTTTACAACCGCAAAAAATTATACAAAATAATTAGTACAATAAAATTTGTTCAAATAATTAAATATAAAATAATTATAATATAATATAATAAAAAATAATTTTACCTGATAAAAATAATAACAAAATCTACTTAGCTTGATAGAAGGAATTGATAAAAGCGAGAATAAACAAGTAGTTTTGGTTTGGTGATTTTTGCATTCAGAAGTGTTCTTATTTATAGAGGAGAGTGAGGGTTTAAAACCTTAGCTTTTAGGCTCAGGTAATTATGGAATATTAATAATTCAACGTACATAATGGAAGGCACAAATCATGCTCTGCGCCTTCCGTACGTGTCAGAAACCCCGCGAAGGGGCGGATGACGATTCGTGCCTTTCCTTATGTGACGCCAGCTCATATAGAACCCCTCAAAGGCGCGGATGGCGATCCGCGCTTTATTACCACCACGTCAGAAAGGGTGCTAGATCAATAATATTAGAGGTGAAGGTGCCTGATAGGTCATTATTGGTAGTACGAGTGATATTTCGGTAAGAACGCCCAAAACTCAAACTACTCGCTTAGTTCAAAAGTTCAATGTCCCCCAAATGGCATATATGTATAATAAAACAATGCATATCTAATAGATAATGGTCAAAATTTGGTTTTATCATGATCAAATTTACGATATAATCCCTAATTTGATTTTTAAAAAAATAATTATGAGTAGTCATAATGTTTTTTTGTCCAACACTATCCACTAAAGTCACCATAAATACTTTTAAGCGATTGAGAGAGGGAATGTCTCTCTATCTCCTCTTTCACTCCTACATTCTCTTTCGTGTTTTTATCTACTCTACAGAAAAACGTTGACCTACGACCATCCCCTCATCGACTGTTGCTCTCTGTCCAAGTCAAAAGGAATAAACTACTAACAATCGACCAGGTCCACCCTGGAAGATGAACAGATCATGTGCTACTTTCTAAAATGAAACTCCTAAAATATTTTATAATAATAATTAATTTTTCAAATTTAAAATTTGAAGGGATTTACTAGGTATTTTTTTATCAAAATTTATCATGAAAAACTATTAAAGATATGTCAAAATCCTCTTTTGTAACTTTATATGTCACTTTTCCGAAAATCAAACAGAAAATTTGTTTTCTCTTTGAACGGAAATATTGTTAAGGCACAAAAGTAATACATAGACGGGTTGGACGTGTGACATGTCATAGGCCGCACATGTAAATGGACGTGTATGATGCAAGCGATGAGACAAACTTGTTCTCATTAAAAATTTTAAAATATCGGATTAAATTATATATTTGATCATAAGAGAAGGATCAAAATCGTAATTTATGCCATACATATGTGCGTGTGTGTGTATATAAACCCATCCTACAGGTTTTGTCATTTGGTTCTTTTCCCTTTTAGTTGTACGAACTCAACTTTTGTTCATTAGCTATGGACTCAACTGAAACTGCACCTCAGGGCCTAACCAAAGAAGAGTATTCGGAGCTGAAGCCTCTGATTCAAGCATACCATAAATTCGAGCCGATGCCCAACACATGCACGTCGCTAATAACGCAACGAATCGACGCCCCGGTCCAAACCGTGTGGCCATTCATCCGAAGCTTCGAAAAGCCCCACAAATACAAGCACTTCATCAAGAGCTGCAACATGAGCGGCGACGGCGGCGTCGGTAGCATTAGAGAAGTCACAATCGTCTCGGGCCTTCCCGCGTCGACTAGCACGGAAAGGCTCGAGATTCTGGACGATGAAAAGCATATCTTGAGCTTTAGGGTCGTGGGAGGCGAGCACAGGCTGAGGAACTACAGGTCGGTGACATCGGTGAATGAGTTTGACAAGGAAGGTAAAGTGTACACCATTGTTTTGGAGTCTTATATAGTGGATATACCAGAAGGAAACTCTGGGGAAGATACGAAAATGTTTGTGGATACAGTTGTGAAGTTGAACCTGCAGAAGCTTGGGGTCATTGCAATGGGTTCTCTTCATGGACATGATTGATTACATACTTTGAGAAGATGACAGGTAAGATTCTGTTTGAAAGTACGGTTAGTCTAGACTTTGAAGAGGTTGGATTTGTTTTTTTTTTATTTGAGTATTAGTGGGGTTTGACAGTTAGGGATTGGTTTGTGTATCTTAGTTTCCTTTGGATGATGAATAATTTCAGCTATATTATTTTCATCTTGGTTTTAATGTTTCATTGTTTTTGACAAAGCTTATCCATTTATGCTTGTAAATTGACAGAGTAATCCTTGAGAAGAAAGAGTGGAATTTCCTCCTAAAAATATAATCAAGACTAGTTTGGGTATTTAACTTGATTCTGATGATACCTATGATGTTCTGTTATGAAGAAAAATTGATTTCCCTTGATGCATCCATCTATTTATATATGATAAAATATGTTTGACCATTTTAACTTTGTGAACAGGAATAGATCGAAAGGAGTGGACGAGAGTTGTCGTCTCTCATACAAAAATTAAATTATCATATATTTTTTATATTTTTTTATTAATAATCAATTTTATTTTTTATTTAAAATTTTAAAAGTTCATCCCTAACATAAAATCTCGCATTTATATCCTATTCTATATCCAAAAATTATTTTAAGGTTTTGACACATTGGTAGACATTTTGCAAATTATAGCCCGTGGAATATAAATCTTAACTTACGGTTTTTTACCAAGTCAATTCATTAGGTTAAAGGAAATATTCTGTTTGCTTTGTAAAAAGGACGGAATAAATTTTTATTATATTATATATTTTTTATATATTTTCATTGTCTAAAAATTAATTTTAAAATTTATAACTTAACATATTTTTTCATTGTTTTCAGCTTTCTAATAAAATAAAAACGAAAATGAACTAAACAAGAGCTAATTTTTTTATTTAAAATAAGTTTTTGACATTTTTAATTTCTTTTTTAATAATTCAAAAGTGATTATAAGATAGTATCTGTTCAGAATTTTTTTAATCATTGACAAGGCACACACCTTACAGAAGCAAGTGTTCAAACCTAAGACTTCTAAGAAGAGCAACACTTCTTTCTATTTCTGAGATCACTTGATAGATTCTTTTTAAATTAAATATATGAGTAAAGTACACAAATAGTCCCCCAAATATAAGGCATTACTTTGTTGAGTCCCCTAATTATTAAAAGTTTCAAAATAGTCACTCAACTATTCATATATTCTAAACTCGTCTTTTTCCGTTAAAAAATTAACGAGTCTCTATACTAAACGTTAACCTGTTGGCTAAGATATGATAAAATCTGATCCCAAAATATCAAACGACTATACAACTCAAACAGTTCTGAGATCAGATTTTATCATATTCTAGTCAACATGTTAACGTTCAACTCAGAAGATCGTCAATTTTTTTTAACAAAATATGACAATTTGGAGCATATGAATAATCGAATGACTATTTTGTAACTTTTGATAGTCGAATGACTCAACAAAGCAACGTCCTATAGCTGGGGGACAATTTTATAAATTTTAATAGTCAGGTGACTCAATAAAGCAAAACTCTATAATAGTGGTGAATCCATAAATTTAAAAATGGGGTCTAAAAATTTTAATAATTTTTTTTAATAAAATGGGTATGCAATTTTTTTTTTATTTTTTCTCCTTCCCTTAATATATTGAATTATATTTAAGAACTTATCCAAAATAATGAGTATGCACTTGGCTCCCTAGGGGACCAAGTGCATCCGCCCCTGCCCTATAGTCAGATATCATTTGTGTATTTTACCCTAAATATATATATATTTATTTAGTTCATCAAGGGAAATATACAAGTTGTTCATAAATCGAATGGAGAACTAATGTTAATAAAATACTTAATAGTCTATATCGCTCTATTTGTAATTCAATGGAGTAAGTTAAACAATGGTCAAATAAGTTAGAAGATTGTAGGGAGGGGTTTGGAGTTTGGAGAAGGGAAGAAGAAGACTATTCATTACCTTCCATTGAATACTTGTACCATATGAGGTACGATCTTTCAAGTATATATATAAGAAAAGAAAATATACATCGCATGCATGCTCTCATTTGGCTGTAATTGGTTGTATAGTAAAACCCAAGAATCATGTGGTGGTTTTGTTGAGAAGATGATGGGTGTTGGTTTAAAGAAGAGAAAGCAAATAAGACTAAATTCAATGGATAGAGAGCTGAAAGTGAAATATATCAGCTTTTCCTCATGGGACATGTGACCATTGCCAATTACAACTATTCAAACAAAGTGTTATTCACATATCAAATCCAATCCGTGATGCTATCACATTATTTTGATAACGGAACGTCTAGAAAAGGAGCGGGGATAACCCTATATTTTCTTCCTCGTGTTTTTTTTACACAAAAAACATATAAATAGATATTGATCAATGGGACGGTAACTCATTCTGAAAATTTCAAATTATCATATATTTAAGATTCTTTTTATATTTTCTATTAATAATTTGTTTTTATCTTCTAAAATTTTATAAATTCATACTCTCTTAAAATTTTAAAAATTCACTATCTTTATATAAGATTTTGTGTCCGTCCTTCTATATATATACATATAGTAGTTAACCAAGTAGAGGTGGTAAGGTGAACCAATTTATCAGACAACTTTGTATTTGTAGATCATGTGGGCCGGTTACCAAGTTTTTATTTGCCTCCCGGTCTAGCTTAATCCCGTGGGTTTGTTTTTTACCTATTGGGCCTATTTTCTTAGCTCTCTGTCCACCTATCCCATCTAGGGTTTATTTTTCTATAGAATAATTATACATTTAGTACTTAAACTATTACATTTGTTTTGTTTTGATACCTAAAATTTATTTTATTTTAAAATTATACTTACCGTTTAGCTTAGGTTTCATTTTGGTACCCATCCGTTAAAAATTTAACGGTAATATTAATGTGTCATCATAAGGTAATACCACAACATTATTGAAAAAATTAAAAAATGCCACATAAGCTCTTTCAACAACAAGGAATCTAATTGAAAACTAAACTAATCGTTAAACATCATTTTAAAGAAAAATACAATTTGAATATTAAAACGGAACAAAAGCAATAATTTAGGTCTCCAAAGCCGGTCGCAACGAATATAAATACAATGAGCAGACAACGTTGTATTCTTTGGTAGCAGTCAAAGGTATGGCCGAGAAATGGAGAAAGTCTAAGGGATGATAGCCTGATTTAAGGCTGAGAAATGACATGGAATGAGCGCAACAAAAAATGTAATAAAAAGCATAACATTTTCGGTTGAGCGCAACCTAAAATGTTAATTTTTTTTCTTAACATTTTCTGTTGAACCGAAAATGTTACATTCTTTATAATATTTCCGTGGGTAACAGAAAATGTTATCTTCTTTATAACGTTTTTGGTCGAGCTCAACTGAAAATATTATAATTTTTATAACATTTTCGGTTGCACTCGTTCTTTATCGTTCATCTTAAATTAGGTTGTTGTACGGTAGAATTACCTGAGAAGTGAGCCAAGCTGATTGCCTCTCACTTTACTCTATCCTCCTCAACTGCCGCCCTCCGGTCAGAAACCACTTATCCGGTGGTTTTAAATTTACTCTTACTCTTATTCTTTTCATTTTCCTCATCATGGATATGGATATGATGGCTTAAAAGTAAATGGTGTGAGGAAGGAAGTTTATGGTGATAGTTTCATAATGGCGTCTAAAGCTGAAAAGGGGAGAAAGGGAGAGAGCCCCAGTCCTTGTTTCAAGTCATTGCATTGCGACTCTCGCAACCTCTCCTACAACAATAAAATGTTGGCTTTGTAAGCATGGCTGCGGGTTGAAACAAAAGGCCTGGGCTGCGTTTTTAGTGTTAAACGCTACCCTGGACTTCTCCCAACATCATTCCTTTTTATCCTTTTGGCTTTAACGCTTATCAGTTGCCTCTATTTCTCCCTTGCGTTGATCAAACCTTCATTGCTCTTCCATTTATTTTGTTTATAAACAATTTCCTCTTGTTGCGTCTTTACTTATATGCTCATTGTTGACAATTTGAACTTGTTATGATTTATGTTCTGAATTTGATGCAGTGTAACTGGTCCAAGGAGATTGATTATGTAGAACAATGCATATGTGGAGGAACATGGCAACTCTATTTGGGTGTTGTTATGTAAAATGAATAAAACTGAGCAATCCATGATTCTCTCGTTTCATGATCAATTCACTTTTACGATATATGATATTTATGAGGTTGATGAGAAAGGGTAACTGCAAAGAAGCCGTTAACCCATGTTTTGGGTGTTGTAGGATGTCCCCGTTTAGTGCAGTTTTTCTTCTTTTTTCAACACGTGATTATGAATCTAACTCTAAGCATTGGAAAATCTGGATGGTAATGAACTTTTGATCATTTCATTGATTTTGTCTATAAATTATATATACCATATGTATTACAATAAAGCATGATCACCTGAGACAAATCTTTCTGGTTCAAAGCAAGTTGCTCTAAAAAATATCAAATCTGTGTGTAAGCTAAAATCCAAGGAACATAAGAGTTGATGACCCTGTAATCTTAAAAGAGGCCATTCCTAAATGCAAGTACCACCCTTGGTGTCAACAGCAAAATGAATGCCAGTATCGAACCGAAGAACAGTTTGATAACATAACTTAAGGGGTCGTATTCAGTTTCTTCAGCATCTTCTGTAGAGGTTGACATGGCTTTTGCCGATGGTAGAGCTTCAACTACAGCATCAGCCAGGTCCGTGATGAACAAAGAGTTGCAGCCTAGAGCAGGCACACGGCCCCAATTCTCTATGCCAGATTCCAGAGCTAAATGTTTATATTCCATGTCAATCTCTTCAAGTGTCTCTATGTGCTCACTGACAAAGCTGGAATTCGAGATGGAAGTGGAGTTAATTTTTACTACACAATCACGCATTTGAAGCAAACATCAAGAACATAATCTTTGAACCGGACAAGGTACCTTATTGGGACAGCTAGAAGACTCTTCACTCCTTTCTGGCCAATCTCGACAAGAACTTCATCGGTGTAGGGCTTCAGCCATTGGACAGGTCCAACTCGACTCTGGAAGGATAGAGTGAAGAATTAAGTTTGAGTAAAATAGTAGTTACAAGTTTTCGAAGTGAAAGCAGAAACTTGGTTTTAAAATCAACCTGGTAAGCAAGGGTATGATCGTTTCCAATCCCTCTAGCTTTCAACTCTTGCATAATTAAGTAGATGCAGTCCTCCATTTGATCTTTGTAAGGATCCCCAGCATCCTCAACATAACTGACAGGTACCCCATGGGCACTAAAAAATATCATGACCTGAAGTTTGAAGGATTATTAGAATAGCAATGAAGTCTATCAAATGACCATAATTCGAGATTATCAAAATATAATTAATGAATTTGTGCATCAGAAAGTACACAAAACCAAACCAACCTCTTCAGGCTTTGCAAATTTGCCCAATTCTTTCTCAATTAAGTCGGCCATAGACTGAATATAACCTTGTCGTTGATACCACGAAAGAATGACAGAAACAGGTAGTCTTGATAAATATGCATCTTCCCTGAAATTTAACCCACAGCCTTTTATGAAGGAGATCACTAACAGATAGTTTAGTGCAAAACAATTAACAAAACCTACTTGAATATTCGTTGAAGAACTCGGATGCTGGACCCAGTTGTGGAGATGGAGAACTGAGGATATAGTGGCAGCACGACAAGCTTTGTTATTCTGTCCCGTTTAATCTGTTCCATAAAATAAAGGATAAGCAATGTATACTCAATGCACTTTGGAGATAGATCATTCATTGTTGAAACGGATAGTTCCTTATTAAAAATGAGAGGTTTAACTTCAAGTTGGCTGAATTATGATGGCATAGTCATATAATGCTAAGAACTTGCATGATTCTTGAAGACATGTCACTGTCTTCATATATTACTTAAACTCAAAGTGTGAGTTATAGATATGGGGTATGTCTAATTTTTCAAAAAGTTTTTCGGGGTACTTTGGTTGATCTTTGAAGGGTCATCCCATACCGATATCAAGAGTTGCATCAGATGTGGATATACTTCAAGAAAAATACTACATTTATCCCTTAAGAAATGATTTGATTAACTTAACAATGAGTCCTAAATATGACCTAAATAAATAGCAATGGATCATTCCTGGATAAATTCATCAATAGTTCTGAATAAATTAAAAACCATGCAACTTTGAATGAGTATCAAAACCCCAAACCTGTTCAATAGCCTCCTCAGTGAAAGGGAACCAATATCGCATTCCAACATATACATTGGCATGTACATTCTTAGCCTCCAAAGCCATTCTAAGAGCATCCGCCTGCAACAAATTCTTCAAGCTATAAATACGCAGATCAAATGCAAACAACAAAAGCTTCACCATATAGCACAAATCGAAAACATGATTCACTTCAGAACATATATGCATAGAAAAAACAAAACCTTCAAGATAAGTGCTTCCGCCATCAACGTATCCTTCAAGCTATAAATACACTTACCTGTTCATCATTGATCCAGTTCACCATTGATCCAGTTCTATACAATACTAGCCTAGAAGAAAGTAACATGCCAATATCTACAACAAAAGGGATTTTATTTTTTACCTGTTCATCAGTTATTTTGCGTAAAGGCGAACCGCCACCAATGGAAGCATACCCTTCTTTGCTCTTGGGAGCCCGGAGAACAGATATCAACTTTGCCAATGGTTGTTGAAGAAACCTTAACAGCCGAGGCAGCCGTATAATATCCTAAATAAACAAACATTATCACCATCGGCACCCCATTGAAACATTAACTTAAAACCCAGAAATATTTATACAAACAAACATACAGGATCAGCAAACAAGTTATACAAAAAGGGTTGAACGTCGTTAAGTGTCTCTGGACCTCCAAGGTTCAAAAGTAGGACCCCGAGCTTCTCCTCCGCAGCGTGTGAATAATGAGATTCCGCAACATTTTCAGGGGAAATGCAAACCCCCACCGCACAATTCGTTTGTAAGTTCAGATTTCTCTTCCAAGTCGGTCCATTGCTAAGATTTGACCCTTTGAGAATGCTATGATTTTGAGTATTCGATTCAGAGCTTGAGACGATAAGAGGTTTCGGTGAAGGCTTATCAACATCATTGAGACCCTCAGAGAAAAAGCGCGATTCAGAGGCAAAATATCTGCGCCGAGGAATCGACCTGGAAACAAGAACAAAAGAAAAAACAAAAGCCAAGTTATTATGATCTAAAATTCATTGACAGGAGCCAAGTATAAACCTTTGATCAATCCCTCCCCCCCCCCAAAAAAAAAAGAAGAAGAAGAAGAAGAAGAATAAAAGGCTGACCTTGAAAATCTATAATTGTAATTGCAGAGACTGGAGCCAGATAGAGATGCTGCCGCCATGGTTTTGATCTGAAGAAATCTCCTTTAGGGTGCAATAGAAAATTGGGTGTTAGGTGGATTGGGAGAGATTCTTGTATGGGTTAGTTGAGGAGGAAATGGCTAAATTTTGTGAATGAAAATGTAGTAGTCAAATAAAAGCAGCGGTCCCAAATACCAAACGTAAACCTAAACACGCCACAGTTTTCACTTTCAAAGGGAGACTTTAAATTGGACGGAGGCTCCATAGAAGCTTCCAAGAAGGTTGGAATAAAGGCGGTTCTTCTCATTTTATTCTTCATTCTTATAAATGTTATTAATAATTCAGTATATTTTTCTGTTACTTGCTAATGTTTTAAAAGTGACGATTCAGTTATTGATTTATAATAATTTGATTATTCAATCGTTAATAATTGTTAATGGGATAACAAAATCCTGCTCTAATTAAGCTTTTTAATATCATTTGATCAAGTTTATTACTCAAAACTGACCCTTTCTTTTCCATTTTCACTTTCTCCATGCTTTTCTCACTTCTCTACTTAAAATCCGAGAAATTATATGATTCTTGTTTTACATCGTATTTCAATGTTAGTTTCATGTATAATCATAATTAGGGGTGTACAAACAGTCTGTTCGGTTTATCGATCGAACCAAACTACCCAAAATTTATTAATCATAACTTTTTCTCTTATACTGTTAACTAAATCGATTTAAAAATAATAATAATTGATTTTCGAATTAATCAAAATTTATTGTAATTTCCTATTTAATATATTTAATACTTAATTGAATTAACTGAATAGAATAAATTAGACTAAGATCAAGTAGTATATATATAATATATTTAATATTTATGAATAATCAATTAATTCCGTTAATTTATCAGTTTTGAATCAAATTAACCGATAATCAAAGTTTGAAAAAAATCATTAATCGTTAACTGATCGAATCTAAAATTAAAAGAAAAAGATTTTAGTTCAAAATATTGATTCGATTAAAACAGAAATTTAAACACCTCTAATCCAACATCTTAGTGGCCCTTGAAAAAAGCGAAGAATGAATAGTTCCTATGGGATGGATGCAATCGAAAATCCAAATCTAATTCCCTTCATCATCTCCTCTCAACCAATTTGTTTCACAAATTTCAAACTAAAATTCTTATCAAGGCCCCCTATTTCTATTTTACCCATAAAACCCTAATTTCTTGATAAAAGGAATATCCTTCAGCAAGTTTTTTGCTGCAAACCCAAATAGGAGTACACCTGTATCTGCTTCTCTATCCAAGTGATATACCCCAAACTGTTCTTTCTTCAAATGCAAACCCTCCAAGAAATCTCTTTCCCACCTAAGGCCACCAATGGGCAGATTTCTGTTTGGTTTTATCAAGTTTGAATGAGGACTGCATGTTTTGTATTTTTTTTTATCAAGTTTCAAGCTATTTTCTTTTTGTCCAAATTTGTGCTGAAACAAATTGGGTAAAATTTCTTTGTTCTACATGTAATATGATATCTTTAATTGGATTTAAATGCTATATTACTCGAATTCATTGAGTGGTCTTAATGGTTAAAAGAACTGTTGTTCTTCTTTGAGATATTGGGTTCTAAATAACTATCTCTGTATAGTGTGTTGTCAATTTCAATGATTAAAAAATATCATAAATATATATTATCTTGTAATCATTCATATTATTAAAAAAATTATTATATTACTCAGGTTGATATATATACTGAAATTTATAATCCATTTTGATGATAACTTGGACCCAAAAGGAGTGATGTTTATATTTTTTTTTCTTAATATGCAATGTCTTGTTATTTCTTCGTCTTCCTTTTATTTTCTTAATTTATACCATATTTTAATAATATCTTAGTAGTATTCTTAATTTCCTGTTTGCATATAATATAGAAGGTAATATATATATTTTGGTACATGAATTTGATCTCAAAGTGTAAATTGATACATGCTATACCTATAATAAATATCGATGTTAAAAAAAATAATGATATATTAACGTACTACACTCATTATAAAAAAAATTCAATTATAATATTAAATCATGCAAGAAAAGCTTAATATAAAACAATTGCACAAATTATACTTTTTTTTACCATTTAGGTGGCTAAACATTTTCTCGGTTAATATAGTTGTCTAACGTTATAAACATTATCATTTTAAGTAGTGCCCTAACCATAACAGCGTTAAAAAATCATGTAAAGCGATATGTGTCGTATTTTGATAATTTTAAACTTTTTTATTTAAAAAAATTAAAAATGTTATAATATTTTTAAAAAACTAAACTTTTCTATTTTACAAAAATACTCCACAATTCATAAAACTCTATTTCTCAAAAATCAAAATCCTAATTTTGTATTTGGCTGACGAAAAAAGAGTGACTAGAAGGTGAACATGATGACGGATGGGTGGATTTCGACAACGACACAATTGCAACCGATGAGTGGTACCGCGACGGTACAAATTGGAGAAAGAAAATGAGAGACACACATATAAGAAGAAGACGAAGCAACAGTGAGTGGTGTTGCGATGGTGATCGGACCATTGCCGGGGCTTGTCTCCATCACTGTCAATAACAATGTTTCTCCGTCATCGTCGTACTCGCCGAGAATGACTTAGATCAACCAAATATTAATATGGGGTGTGGAATTAAAGATTTAAGGAGTTTGAGTTTCTTTTTGGTATTTTACAAACAAACAAAAAATGGAGTTTTTTAAAAAAAATATTTTTAAGTTTTTTTAAGAAAAATAATTTTTTAAAATTATATAAATATGACATGTGTTACTTGATGGATTTTTTAACGTTCATGATCGGGACACTTAAAAATGTAACGTTTATAATGTTAGAAATTTAAATTAACCGAAAAATAATTTAGAGACTTAAATGCGAAAATGAGTCTACACAAAATTTTATATTAAGCCTAAAAGAAATGAACATCAACATCTAACGTGATCCCCTTAAAAACGAAGCATCTACTTTAAAAAGCTAAAAACCACACTAACATTTAGCTTTTGGTGAACATCTAGAATTGAAAAGGAATAAGGTGGAAGTGCGTATACATGCAACAAATTTCCAGACTTGGAAGGTAGAACCATAAAAGGAAAATACCAAAAAACAAATTTGTGGTAAAGTTTTTACTTTAAAAGTTAAAAATTGAAGGTGGTGGTGATGGTGGTGGCCACTATCTATCTATCTAGCATTATTGCGAGAACCTCTGAAGTACTGAAAGGGTAAAATTGACTTTACATTCTGATCAATCTTCAGAAGAAAGTAGTGTATAATCAGTAAAATCCAATGTAACATAATTGTAGAGAATGTAGTTGCTTTTATTGTTTGGCTGCAGAGAAAAAGCAAGAAAATATTCAATATTAAGAAGAACAAATACAAAATGAAAACATCTCTCACTACACTAATAAACGACGCTATTTATCCATAATAATATTGACATAGCTCAACTCAAAACATCACCAAATCGTCAAATAACCTTTGATGCGCATAACATAAACTACCTCGCTCTCTTATTATTTAAACATATAGAAAACCCATTCCCTGGGGCTGGATCTACTACTAGTACTAATATTCAAAGCCAAATCAAAAAGAATTACATATAAAAATTCAGCTCTCTCCTCACCATTCATAAACGCCAACTCATGGAGATTCCATAAGCAGATGCATCATCTTCAGAACCTGAGAGCGGAGCCAAAGAGCAGAGCCACAGCGGCGACGACGACTGCTGGGAACGAAGGAGCGATTGAGCCAGCTCCTGAGGTGGGGCTTGGAGCTGGTGCCTGAGCAGCTATGGAGAAATTCATGAGAGCGCAAACGGTGACGGAAACAAGCATCATAAAAACCTTAGAGACAGCCATTGTTATCGAAAGCTTGAAAATTCTTTTAAGCTTTTTAAAACAGAAGAAAGTTTAAAATTTCGTGGGCAGTGGGAATGGAGATTGGAGATTGGAGATTGGAGATTGGAGACTGGAGAGGCAGGGTGGGTGGGTGGATAAAGGGAAAGGTCGGGAAGCTGCCCGGATTTCCAGCGTAGTAACAGCTGGTACACTATAGTGGGTCCCATCATTTGAAAGGACACTCCTTAATTTCGTTAATCATTTTCATTTACCGCCCACTGTTCTGTTTTGGTATGTTAAAATGGTGCGGTTATTTTGACCAAGCTATCCAAAAGGTTTTGTGTTTTCTATTTCTTATAAGCTAAGAATTTTATTTATCGAATTTATTAAATATTTTTAGTAATTAAAAAAGTGTTTTTTTTTTCAAAAAATATTGAATTTGAGCAGTTAGTGACTTAGTGTGTGCGCACGCCTTTATTATGTTATTGTCTCTCTTTTCTGCTTGCTTTACATTCCGTAAGTGTTATGATGGTTGTTATGCTTAATTGTTGTTGATGTTCTCGTAATATAATATCGAAGCTATTTTTTGCCAGTCGTGGCGGTGATGGCCGGCACTTCATTATCGTTTACATCTATGATCTCACATATCTGGTATCTGAGTTCTTCAAAAGCTTAAAGGTTGTGTTTGTTTGTCTTCACTCTATCGAGACCCAGTGATTCGTTTTCTATTTGTCTTGGTTGTGACTTGTAACTCCTCTTTTATTCCGTCGTGGGCGAAAATTTTGCCAGTGTTCAAAAATCAAATTGTAAGTTGATTGTATTTTTATGTCATCAACATTTTAATTTCGACGAGTCTAGATTATATTGTTTAAATAGTGACAGAACGAATTACTATGATTTCTTGAAACCTTGTCAACATTTTACACCAGTTTTTAGATCAATAGATTCACTGAAGATTATTTGTTTGTGATTACAATAATGTTTGACTGGTGGTGACTCATTATCTGGATAGCAAACTAGTGATTTCTTTAGGTTTTCTTTTTGATATGGAAAATATTTCTCGATTGAATTGTTTTTGATTCATTGAGATTTTATAACAGTTTGCTTGCGGTTTAGTTAGGATTTCATGTTTGTGTTTGGGATTGTCCCTGGGTGGTCACTTGGGATCATGAAAATTACTGCTACACTGCCAAGAAAGCTATGGAACTGACCCAGTTTTTTACTTTGGGGGACCTGGTCAG